TGTAATATATTTCGTAATATTCCGTAATTAAAAATTGCGTAATATTCCGCGTCGATCGTAATTATTGCGGAATTTTTTGGTCCGTAATAACTTACGTAAGATTACGTTTATATAATTCGCTGATGTATATATATGTACACCCTTTAGTAATACAGAGATGTAATACTAAACTATTATATAAGAACAATTAGTAACATATGCATTCAAATCATATATTAAATACTAATTGTTTTCATATGATAACATAGCACAACACCACCATACCCAACCTTCTTCTTAGTACATAATCTAACCAGAATAGAAATTTTAAAAAATACTTGCTTTATTTGTGCCAATACCAATTTTTTCATTTCATAATAACGATCTATATAAAAGGCTTTCCAACATTTGTTTTTGCTGTAAAGCCAAAGAATTTGGTATAAGATATTTCTTACATATGTTATCAATGTCCTTAAAAATCATATTAGATATATAAGGAAGACTAGTAGTTGGGTTTATATTCTGGAATTACTGAAACCTTGCATATCTAACTTCATCTTTAACCACAATTCGATTTTGGGCTGAAGCTGGTATAAAGAATTTTCTAAATTTACTTCTAATTTTATAACCCAATTTATGCCTTCTACATATTGTGTTGAATAAGTATTTGCTGAAAAGCACCGTTTTGTAAATGTATATACCCAACATTTAGTTGGATACAATATTCTATTGCAATATTTTTAAAATTTCAGATACTTGTTCATCAATTCTGTTCAACAGCTATCAAAATTTGATATTCTAAGTGAGTTTCGCAGTGTATAAAAATCAGACATAAATATATCTCATTTGTTAGAAAGTTTTTTCTTGATTTTTTTAAATAAATTTTGCTGTATTTGGAATGCACAGTGCCAAACATTAGCATTAGGATATTTATTAGATATAGCAACTTGCATAGCCAGATCTGCATTTATAAAAATAGTTTTTAGTTAAAGATTGTTTGTAGCTAATAATATTTGATCTAGAATTCATTCATAAGATGATACTGTTTCATCACTAACTACGGCTATTGCTGCAATATAGCTTTTTTGATTTGAATCTATTACAATAAAAACACTTAAGACTATTATATATTTGTTTGTTTTATATATATTATCATTGATAATGACGTTATGATATCAAGCTCATAGACTTTTTTAATTAGGTAACATCCAGAAAATTCTAGTAAGCCTATTATCAATGCCCTCAAAGTCAACTTTGAAGTATCAGTCAGGATTTTCTTGTTGTAAATTTAGTAAATTTTCATATAAAGTAATTGTATCATTTTTAATCTAAGCATCAGTTTTGTACTTATTTATAATGTTATAAAGATCTTAACTATATATTTACTAGTCAGGAAACTTATTCCTTAATATTCTTTTTAAAACAGTTGCTTCCAACTGACATTCCTGAACGTAAAAACAAATTTCTTCCTTAATGTTAGAAGGTATTTTATGTGCTGATAATGAAGACTGCTGAACCAATTTGCTATTTTTCAAATCATGATTATGGGTCTCAGTTAATTTATTAATGTAAACAAGGTTTATGCATTTTTGATATGCAGCATTAAGTGTAAACTCGCACTCTATACAATCTGATTCACATTCTCATTGTTGCGTAGGTTCAGTTTTTTTTTGGGCAAATATTTTCCACTATGCTGACATTTATATGTTTTGCGTGCCAAAACACTATCCTCTTTTTCAGTTCATACTATTTTTGTCTCAAATTCCATCTGAGCAGAATAACATTTTAAGCATTGCTCAAGTATGTCAAAGGAAGTAAAAGTCTGCCTGCTATAAATTTCTTTTAGTGAACTGTCTTCAGATTCATTATCAAAATCGCTATTTTCAGAAACACTATTATCAACAGCTTCAAGTAAGCTTGTTGTCAAAGAATCAGTGATTGAAACCAAATTACTATAATCTTCTAAATAAAGTTTAGGTAGCAGGCTTGTTATTGAGGGATCAGAAAGTGAACCTAAATTACTATCACTTTCTGAATAAAATTCATCTACAAGAAAGTCTTCAATATAGTCTTCAGAATTTTGAATGTTAGCTATTTTAAAAACTAAAAACTTGGCGATTTTAAAATAGAGCAAGAATGCTATTGATAGAATAGAAGTAGGAAAAAAGTAAACTATGCCACACTGGATTAACCGTGGAGAAAAGACCTTTTGAGTAAAAAAAAAAATCGCGTAAAACAAAAAAAAAAGAACTAAGTTGAGCATAAAAAGGATAAATGATCTGTGTTAAGCAAAAAGAAAAGAATTATATAAAGCAAGACTGCGGGAATAAAAAGACTGTGGGAATAAAAAAAAACTACTAAAAAAAAGCCGCAAAGCAACAAAAAAAGATCTATATGAAGCATAAAAAAACTCACCTAAAAGACCTAAAGAAAGAAACCGTGTGAAAAAAAGGCTACATTAAGAAAAAGAGCTGCGTAAAAAAAATAGAACTGCATAAAAAAGAAAAGGACTGTGAAAAAATAAACCTATAAAAAAAAGGAACTGTTAAAGAAAAAACCTATAAAAAAGACCACAGAAATAAAAAAAAACACTAAAAAAAAGGCTATGCAAAGTGCACCTAAAAGACTTAAAGAAAGGAACCACATGAAAAAAAATGTCACATAAAAAAAAGGTGCTACACAAAAAAATAAAACCACGTAAAAAAAAGTACTGTGTGAAAAAAATAAAATTATAAAAAAAATGGAATCGTTAAAAAAAAAAAAACTGTGAAGCAAAATAAACTATTAAAGAAAGAAAAAAATTCTGTTAAAAAGTAACAATTTTACAAGAGTTGTAAACAGTTAGTACATGATCAAAATTTATTTATTTAGAAATACTAATTAAGTTACTGATTATTATGTAAAACATTATTGAAACTATAAGATAAATATCAATATCCCCTAATATAATATTAATAATTCCTTATTTTTAATATAAGTATTATATTTAATAGACAATTCTCCAGTCAACTGAACAAAAATTTTTTTTTTTATATATAAATTTTACTATAAGTGCTAATATGGAGCTGCTCTATCTAAAACTTTTTTTTTACTAAGTAAATCATTCTTGGTCTTGTAACAAAAGTTGTAAAGC